GGAAACAAGTGCAATCCTTATTACCATTCTCACACAGCTTCTTCTGACTCACACAAGCAAGAACCAACACATCTCATGAATTTTCAGCACATCCACAACATCTGCCTCACATACCTGCCAACACTGTTTAATGACAGCTAATAATCATTTTACTTAAGGAAATTCAAAGTCACATCAGACGTGTCCCCACACAGAACGCTCCCCTGACACAATACAGCTACACAGGTACGTCTCATCCCCACAAAACACACACTCATTAATTACATCTCCCAGTGTCAGTCCAACAGCCTTGCTCCCACAGACACCTCAAATTTCATTCTTATCTATGTCTGTACCTACCTGCAGCTGTGTGCCTCCTGCAGCTTTGCTCCAGCTCCTGAATTGTGACATGGCCCTCTTTTTCCCCTGTGGGAGCAGGAAAAGAGGCACCATACCACTGCCTTATTAACTCCCAGCACTATAAGGGGATGTCTAGGCTTTCAGAAAGAAGAAGGAGCATTTGCCATCCTCTCCCTGGCTCCAGGCTTTTGTAGAATCACAGAATCATCATCTCCACATGTTGACCCTGCTTGCAGCAATTTGGGTTTTTGCTGTTTCTACAGCTGTACCAGAACAGCTCATTAGATGTGATTTCTTGCAGCAGAGGTGCTTTCTGTTGGGAAATTTGAGATATCTGGCAGTCAGTGGGAAGCCCACTAGTAAATTGTCTGCATGCTCAAATTAGTTGCACTTACACTGTGGTCATCAGTGTCTCATCTCCCTCTGGTTTGCACCCTGACTCCAACCAGGCTCCCACTTCTGATGTTTCTGGGATGGTGCTGTCAGAAGTTTCCTCACAGCCAAGTCCTCCACATGAAACCTGCCAAGCTCCATGTCTGACTAAAGCTCTTGCAGGAGTGCCCAGGATAGGCTTTCTTGCAAAAACCGGAGAGAAAACTTCTCTCATACAGCTTAAGATATTCCATAACGCAGTTCCTGCTGCACTCGGATAATACAGAAGAGACCGTTCAGGACAGGCCAAGGTCTTGCCCTCGTGCCTTTCTCAAGCCTGGATGAGTGACTCAGATAATACTAAACCAGGGGAGCCCTCGAGAGAGAGCGAGTTTTCGCTCTAAGAGAAAAAACCCTAAACTATTCCTATCATACTATTTTGGTGTACTCTGTGAGGCCAGGAACCAGCAGGTGATGCTCTTGGGAAGGTCCTGGCTGCCACGATACCAGCATACACCAGAGAGGGGACTTCATCCTGAATGACCAGAGAGGAGAGAAAGGGCAAAACTTCCTCGTTTGCTGCACCATTTATAGTGTTGTTCTACGGATAACGCTTCCACTTCACGTTCAATGGGTTGAAGTGTTGAAAACAAAAAGCCTTCTATATTTACTGGTGAAATCTAAAAATATCCCAATTCTGCTGACAGCCAAAGCAAGCACAGGCTCCCAGGGGCTCTCTTTCTAGCCCATTACCACATTGGTGCCCCAGCTGGCTGATGCTGCCCCAAGTGAAAGAGCAAGATGAGTGTAACATCCCACAGCCTCACGGCACAGGATGCCTTCACTCTCTGCCTCCCAGCTGCTCCAGAAGAGCAATCCTCAGCTCCCACCCATCCCTCTGCCCAGCCCCTGGTACTTGCTGGCTCCAGATGCTACGGGGGCTGTATGGCTCAGCCAGATAATTGCAGTGGGCCCCAACGGTCCATGGGGCTGAATGAACAAACTTGTTAAGTAGCATAGGACATCTTCTCTTCAATATCTCCCCTCTGTCCCCAAAGAGACTGTATTAATTAATGATTTAGAATAATCCCAGATTTTACTGCAGCTTTGGTGCTTTTCATTGGGAAGATAGAAGTGCTTACTATAATTTACTTATGTTATACTGGCATAACTGCGTGGGCTTTTAGTTGACATCTGCTTGCAAAGTGAGCAGTTTGTTTGCTGGTTACACTCACAGCCTGAGACCTTTTTGGACAGCTGATTTACTTGGCCAACACCACCCCAGCTGCAGTTGGCATACCAAGTTTATGATTTCTGGGCCGTAGGTATTCAAGTGTCTGAATGTTTGGTCAGGAAGGGACATGGTTCGGTGCCCCAGCTCTGATGCAGCCAGGCAGTATCAGCAGATCCAGCGTGCTTGCCTTCCTTCTCCTCCTCCTCCTCTCCACCTCTTTGCTTCCAGATGCAAATACTTTCATATTTGGCAATGTGTAACTATGATGGCTTCTTAAGGGGAAAACATCTACCTTGGCAAATGCATTTAAGACTCTTACTTCTGCTTCACAGTTTCAAGCATATGTGGACTAGAGGAAAAATACTTCCATCTTATGCCTGCTGGCATGGCTCAAGACTTGAATTCAAAAATGCCAGCAGGCTCCCAAAGGTTGGCTAATCATAATTAATAAAGAAAATGCATTGGCACTTGTAAAATGAATTGGCTCCCATGAGTAGGAAAGTGGCCTGAAGAGGCAATCAGAAGCCAAGGTTCATGAGATTTTAATCCTAGTTCCTCTATCAATTCCCAGTCCAGAGTGGGACACTTAACTGCTTTGTTTGCTTTATTCATTTCTGAATAGGACTAGGCATTAGCTTAGTCATTGTGGTGTTTAGGGGATTAATTAGCTAATTCAGCACCTTGCTCTAATGATGTAAAAATCTTAAAAGCTTCACTGGAAGGATTTGAAGCTTTTGTTGAAGAATTACCGCTCATTTATGACCTTTCTTTGTAACACATCTTGGAAGACTTATAGGTAAGGCAAGAGGGGAAGATTTTAATTTAAAAAAGAGACATTTCCATTTGGCAAGATTTTTCATCCTGATGAGAAAACATAAACACCCAGTCTCTGATCTTGTCTCAATCCATATTTAATCTCAGAGAATGCTGTTGTGTAATTTTGAAGACAACAGTTTCAGGAAGCATAGGGGACATATTCCAGGCTTCCTTCTGCTTTAAAAAAAAAACTATGAAGGAAGAAAAAGGTGGCTGAAGCAGGGCAGAGATGTCACCTAATCCTACATGGAGGACACAAAAGACAGGGAAGACAAAGCCACAGAGCAAAAGACAGCGTTTCCTTTAAAAATCAGTGGAGAGACTTACACAACATCCTTTGGGATTAAAATTACTTCCCCTTTTTCTCTCTGCAGACCCTCTTGTTTTGGTTGATAAGGGGATGAAACCCTGCCTGTGAAAGCCAAGCAGAGGACAAATTCCAGGGGTCATTTCTCAAGCAGGAAAAGATGCTGCCCCTGTCCCCTCCAGTGATGCTCTGCTGTAGGGCTGCCTCCCACCCTCCCAGCAGTGGTAACCCACTCCCCTGTGCTGCAGTGTTGCTCCATGCCTGCTCCATGCCCAGCTCCAGTGTGCAGCAAAGGGAGCAGGTGGGAGTATGAAATAGGGTAGAGTCAGAGGCAGGAATATGAGCAGGGTTTTAGGAGCTGGTGGAGTGTTAGGAAGACACTGGAACTGAAGCTTGCAGAGGATGGCAAGACTAAAAATAGGCTGTAGCCAGCCTTCCCCAGTGAGTTTTGGCACCTCAGCTGCCTGTTATGCTTGTGACCCACTGAAGAAGTGGCAACAATGAAAGAGATTATGTTTTCCACCACCCTGGCAGTGCAGGACAAAATGATACTTTGCTTCTAACCAGATGTTCCACTCTCTTGATCTGGTAAGTTTTTCTGGAAGGGTGTAAACTGAGTGTCTTCTCCCTGGCTTCAGTCAAACCAAGGGACTCCCACCTTCCCCTGAGTTTAACAAAGCACTCGTGTGCATTGAAGATGTGCTCATTCTTACAGGCTGTTTGCAGGCTTCCATCCTTTGAGAGGAAAACGGGAAGTTTTTGTAGAAACCATCATTTTAGCTCAACAAAACTGATTAAAGAAAACATTTCACAGAGCTATGTTATCCAGTACAATCAACATTGCACCTTTGTTCCTACCTTAACAATTCTGTATTTGTATAAAAAAACCCCAAAGGCAATTCATAATGCTAAGAGGTGTTGAAATGCGTATGTAGATAAGGTGCCCGAATCTCATGGCCAACAGCTTGTACATTATATGGATCAAAACCAGTTTCTTCTGCTTTTTGCCTATGCTATGTAATTCAGCAGGTTGGTTGTGGGACAGATAAGGCTTCCCTGAGCTGTGGGTTTCAGCTAGCCATCAACCCAGGACATCAGCTTTGAATAAGTGTTCCTGCTTGTCCAGTGGGGTAAATTTAGGAAGAATCATTGTGAAAGGCTGCTGTGGTGTAATTTTTTTCCCCCACCTTTAACTTTCATGCATCAAGAAGATCCTCCATTTGAAACATTTTAGGAAGTTGGAAGGGTGGCTGCAAGGTTTGTAAGTTGGTCTCAAGCAGAGCCAAGGGCTGCATCAATAGGTCTCCTGGCTCCAGCACTTTAGGTTTAACTACTTCTGCTCTGTTAAAACGTGACCTCAGGTAACAATTTGTGACTGGGGAAAGCATTGTGCAAAGATGCAGTGCCACATCAGCACCTGTTTTGTGTGTGTGCGTGCTCATTCTAGAGCAGTATTTGGAACTAGTAACAGACAGCCAGACCCGTACATCTTTCTAGAGCCAGTCCTGCTCTAAATCTGGGTGCAGTTTTCCCTTTTAGACCTGCTGTATATGAAGTGTTTCTCCCCAAGAGAGAGCCACCAAGCAGAAAAAAGGTAGACTGGTATCTCCACAGACACACAGCATTCCCTTGTAAACTGCCTACAGTGCATAAATGGTTACTGCTGGGTGTGAGGGGAAAGGAGCCAAAACCCAAAGAGTGCTTTTTCCATCCTGGTTTTCAAGTATATGTGTTGGTGTAATTCAGTGGGACACAGCAGCACATTCGAGTAAGAATTTGCCTCCATTTGTCATCCCATAAAGCACTTCCAGGTTTTCAGCACTGCAGTGGGAGCACAAGAAGTGAGAATGCTATGAGAAGTGGGTCTAAGGGGAGGGATCTGGCACGAAGCCGTGGCTCTCAGTGGATGTTGTGTTTCTGCTCTCTCCCTAGGAACGTTTGTATCCGCTTTCACCGTGCTGTGCGGAGCCCGGACTGACCTCCCTGACAGGCACATGTGTTGTGTCTTCTGGCTGAACATTGCTGCTGCTCTGATTCAGATCCTGACAGCGATCGTGATGGTTGGCTGGATTATGAGTATATTTTGGGGCATGGACATGGTCATTCTTGCAAGTAAGTACAGCACACTCACCACCCTGACTTCTCTCCGAGGCTGTGTTACTGAGTCCCACCTAATGTCCCTCCAAGCCACTGGACTGTACTGTAGGGAAGAAGTAGGGAAGCCCATGTGATGGGCTCTGCAAGTCCATGAGAAACACAGTAGGCAGAGAAATTGCTAAGAGGGTTTGAATGGCCCCGTGACATACCTGGTAGAGCCTCCCATCCTGCCACATGGATTATGAACTTTCTTTTCCCTTTATGAAATGAAATGTGCAGAAAGAGGGAGGCCCCCAGCACTGTGAACTCTGCTGTCTGAAGCCCCTTCTGCCCTGGTGGCATCAGTTTGAACAAGTAAGACCTTTCTCCCTTCCAACTCCAGCTGCATCTCTGCTGTTAGAGAGACCTTTCTGAGACGTTCTGCTCCCAGGGCCAGCTGTCCCCAGAAAAGCTCTGGGGACTCTCCTGGACCTTCCCCTTCCTCTCCAGAATACATTTATCCAATGCTTTTTTGTTTTTTTCATGTTTCACACCAAGTCCTTAGGCTGAACAGAAGTGTTTAGCTGCTCCTAGAAGTACTTCCCATACACCCCTTGAGGAGCATCTAAAACATTAGTCTAGGAGAAGAGGAATCCTTTTTCAAATGTACATAGTTTACATCACCCAGATAGTATATATCACCAACCCAGAGTACTGCTAACTTTTATCTGCCAAAGGCTTTGACTGGTGTAAAAGTTGTATCATGTCTCCTGTATCGCATTGCAAAGAATTAAGATGACACTCTCATCTCACCTCCAAAGCCAGAAGCAACACAGAGCTCAGGCTGCTGGTGGCATCTCCAAGACTCTGCTCCCTTTCCAGAGGCTGGCAGAGGCTGATGGGCATTGCCCCAAACCACCCAGGTCTGAGATCTCTCAGGCTGACAGGACAGGCAGTTCCCCAAGCAAGCCCTTCTCCCGGACACCATCTTACCAGCAGCTTTTGCCTTTTGGTTTGGAGGGACTCCACTTTGTCATCTCTGCTGATGGCATCTGTGGCTGCATGACAGAGGAGGAGAGAGGATCTCGGGAAGTTGCCAGGAACCTGACTAAAGATGAAATGGGTGAAACTGAAAAAAAGAAGGCAGAAGATCAGTACACATTTTCAGCTGCCAAACCCAGGGGTTAAACCCTCTCACCAAACCACCTGCTAATTTCTGAGCCAGCTTCAATTTGCAGGCTGAGTTAAGGCAGTCCCTGCACAGAGCAAAGATGGATATTAAAAACCTGAACATATGCAAGGCAAAAGGCAAGGGTCAAGGCAGCACTGCCCTTTGTTTTTCCCTGCAAACCACCTGCCACATTTCCTTCCAGATGTACCTGCACAGCAGGGGTAGCCCAGGTTATTTCCGAGGGTAAATTGTGAATGGGTGTACATCTGTGATGTGTCTTTAAGAATCTGCCCAACTTGTGTGTAATCCCATAATTGTGTTCATAATCATATGCTCTTCTGCTCTTCCTCTGCTGGACAGCCTCTGTGTGCAGTTTGCTATCTGGCAGGACCCCATTCTGCAGTTGTGAGGAGTCAGGGAAGCATCTGCCCTGATAAAGAGCTACATCTGAAATTATGACTTGCTTTTCTCGATAGTCCTGTTCTCCAGGTAGAGGGTGTTGGGCTTAGGAGGGTTGCATTTGTTTTTCAGTTTGATTGTTGGGGAAAACCATACAGCTTGGAATTTTCTCCCAGAAGCTATTTCTCACATCTGGACCCCACCAGTCTGAAAGGCAGAGGGTGGGTGATCAGCATGTGGTGGGAATGCTCAGGTCAAGAGATCCCCAAACACAGCACAGTATTTCATCCCTCTGGTGGTAGTAGAGAATGGTGAGAGGAGTCAACATGTCTTATGTTCACCAGCATCATCTGACAAGTTGCAGCCCTTGGCAGTTTCTTGCTGTCTCATTAAATAGCTGGTTTTAAGTTTACTTTCCATGCAGAAAAAATAATGGCTAAATAAAGCAGCTCTAGGTTGATGGAGAGTAAAAAAGAAATCAATTTCAATTGAAACAAAGAACAGAAGTGATCAGTTGCTGCTAGCTGGATCAAACAGCCCTGTCAGACCCAAAGTGGTTCTTATTTTCATATAAAAAAAAAAAGGTACTAACTTAAAAAGGAAGCCATGTTTGAAATGCAAGAAATAAGTTATTTCATCTAAGAACACTGCCAGGAAACAGTTTGCTTTGGCTGGGTTTGGTTTTTGTACAAGTAATTTGATGCACTGGACAGAAACTTGGATTTGCAGATGGAAAATAGTTAAAAAAATATGAAACTACTGCCCACCTCTAGTCTCCCTTGCCTTGAAATGGTCTATTCCATGCATCCCTGTGAGGGTGCCATACTATTTGGATGGGCTAGAGTCTGGACACAGCAGGTGATGTCTAAGCCGGTGGGGGCTAGCAGTGAGGAGAAGGGTGGGAAACAGCTAAGGCTCAGGGATTCCACTCAGACTTTCCCTGAGGGATGAGTGCTTCCCTTCCCAGATTAGAGCCTGCCTGTTAACTGGTAGATAGTTGAGAGAGAGTTAGAATCATAGAATCACTAAGACTGGAAAAGACGGGCAAGATCGGAGTTCAACTGCTAACCCATCACCACAGTGTTCACTACTAAACCATGTCCCCAAGTGCCACATCCACATGCCTTTTGAACAGGAGGCTCCCTGCAGCTTTTCAACTTCTAGTGCTAATTCTCAGCCATGGAAAGGGGGAGCCTGCTCTGAAGATAATGTCATACTGTCTTTAATGAGGGGAAAAGGAGAAGAGTTATAGGCCGACAGGTATACTTCAATTCCTGGAAGAAGTAATCAAGTAAGTGACTTACATGCATTTAGAAAATATAAAACATCCCCACAAAGTCAACCTGGATTTGTCCAGAGCAAGCTGTGTGAGACTGATTCCCTTTTGTGGTAGAGAGATTCATTCTGTGTGTGATGGCAGCACTCAGCCATCCCTTCCAACCTTTGTGTGCTGACGCCGTCTCACACAGCATTCCTACCAGCAAGCCACGGAGACATGACTTGAGTGAAAATGCACTTGGGAACTCGACTCTAAATGGATTTTCCTGAACTAGAAAGGTATAAAGAGAGATGTGTTGAAAGGTCCCTGCTGAATCCAGCTCTGCTCATTATTTTAGTTGGTGGTTTGATGATGGACCAGAGAAGGGGGTCACCAGCCCTGCACCAGCAGTGGCTGCGAGGATGGTTGGCACAGCATGGGCAATGTCCAGATTCAGGCAAATTGAAGAAATGTTCTGAAAACAGTAAGTGCTACTCAGTAGAGACAAGCCCAGGGCTCTACAGAAGAATTAATTGACTCCATAAATACAGGGAACTACTTGTTTTTCAGCAAAGGATGTGGTGGCTGCAGGGAGTCACAAGTGGCACAGGATTACATTGCTGTGGAGGGAACAAACACCGCCCAGGCAGGTAGGAGCAGAGCCTGTGGGGAATTAACTGATCCCCTCACCTTTCTCTGCACATGTAAAGCTGCTGTGAGGCTTCTGGCCAGCTTTGGAGTCTGTACTTCCTGTGGGAAACCTGGAGAGATTACACAGGAGTGTAAGACAGCAGGCATGTGGATGATGATGTTCAGCAGGCTAGTAAATGTGAGAGGGCAGCAGTTCAGCCTAGGACAGACTTAAATAACAGCAGGAAAGATCTGTGTGGAAATTAGGAGACATTTTCACTCCAGTAAGGTCAAAATGCTGCAGAGGTGGGATGGCAGGATCTGCCCTCTCTGTTCCTAGAAGACTCCAAGAGTGAGTAGACTGACTTCTGTCAGGAGCAAGGTGGGACACGGAAACAGAACAAGTGACCACCGAGGGTCCCATCCAGCCCTTTAGCAGAATAATATCCCAGAAGGAAGATTAATTGAATACAGTTTTGCTGGCACACTTAATTACTTTTGGCAGTGCCATGTCATGGGGCATTTTCTCTGCTAATCTAAATTAATTGCCAGCTGTCCCCATTTGACGCCACAGATATCTTCTTTGGACAGCCATATGGCTTTGGGACCTGTCCTTCTCTCTACCACTGTCTGAAGGCAAAGGTACATTAATAGGAAGAACTTAATTATTGTGCAAAAAAAAAAATTTATCTGGACTCTCCCCTGGCTGCTGCTGCATCACTGTCTCAGTGATGGCTGGACAGTGCTGCCGCACTATACTGTCTTCAAACCCCTCATCATGTCTGCAGGGATGAGGCACAGAGCTGAGGCAAAACAGCTAATTAGCTGTCCAAGGCCAATTGGAAAACAAGCCTCCTAAGGCTTTCTGGGCAAAGTTCACTCTGCTGTAGGCACACCTTCTCCCCAGCCCACGCAGCACACATCTTCATCAGCCACACTGTGCAGAATGACCACAGTGGAATGGCCTTTCCAGGAACTCCCTAGCTGCTCAGAGCCCATTATAAAAGGTTGTGTACCATTTCTTGACAGAAGCGCCAGAGAAATAATACAGTAACGTCACACTGAGGTGGCACAGGGGACACAAGTCAGGGACTGTTTGTCCAGGCATTGTTTCGCCTCTAGTGAACTCAGCCAAGAAGTCAGGCCTGCTTTCTGAAGGAAGCCCTCTAAAGCTCAGCCTTTGGCCTCTCAATGAATGACTATCTCTGAATGCTTGGCTGCGTCATTGCTCATGGTTTCACTTCGGCTGACTGCCAGCCAGCAATGAGAACTTACCTGTAATCATGCTGTCCACTTGTCACTCCTTTGCTAATTACAGTGCTCAGACCCTGCCAGAGGCAGCAGCAGATGATTGCACAATTACTGTACTCCTGGGCTCTGAGGGACTTGGGAAAGCATCACTGAGTCCCTCTGCTCTTCAGGGCCCCTGCTAGGGCACATAACACAGCTGCCTTAGGAAGGGAAGGGGAACAGAAGGCACTTAAGAGACTTGGAGGATAACAGCTGGAAGAGACAAGGAAATGATGAAAGAAATTCTGAGCAAAAATTGCGAGCTTAGACCTATTATGTTGTTGGTGGTTTTTTTTGTTTGTTTGGTTGGGGGTTTTTTTTGTTGTTTTTTTTTTGTTTTTTTTTTGTTTTTTTTTTTAAATCTAAATAGAGCTGTCCTCCAAACTATGGCTGAGGAAAATAGTTGAAATACCTTTTTTTGCTGTTTTCTACCAAGTGCTGCAGTGAGGCAAGTTCTTAAAATATTGTAGGAATGTTAAATGCCACCAGGGTTTGCAGCACCCAGACAGGCTGAGGCACGCCGTGGTTGTGAGTCACCTGCAGGCACAAGCAAACTCAGCAACAACTGCCAAAGGCTTTGAGTGTAGTTTTGCAAGCTCTCGGACTGTGAATGGCTCTGGTACACCATGATGTCTTGTTTGCTGCCATCCTTCTGTGGTTTGCCTTCAGGGAGACCCATGAAATACCAATGTCACAGAGAAAAGTGTGGGAGCATTGCTCAGAGGTGTTAGTCCATCCAGCCTGTCCAGCTCAGGGACAGTGAACTGGAAAGCAGATGAAAATTTCCCCATCATCTCTAAACAGGAGTCCCAGATAAAATGATCGACTTCAAGTACAAAGATTTAAAATAATGTTTTAGCCCTGGTGTGAATGTCTGATGGCAGAGCAGCTGTTCTCTGTTTATTCTGCAGCCCCAGTTTGTTCATTCTCTTCTGGTTCTCCATGTGTTTCAGATATATCGTCTACAGTTACATTTCTCGCTCTCTCTTTCTTTCATGTTCCTTTGCCTCCTTTTGTTCACCATCAAAGTCTCACAAGGTAAGTTTGTTTCTGTTCTTCCTCTTTCTCCTCCTCGCACCCTGTGGCAGCTGGCCATGGAGAGCAACGAACATCGGCCAGGGCAAGCCATCTGGAATTCCCTTTGGCCAGTGCCACCCGCTCCCAGCCCAAGTCCAGCCTTGTGCCTCTACGTGTGTGTCCGCCTGTCTCTGTGTCTGTCCTGTGGCTACAGAGCCCCAGGGATGCTGAAAATCTTCGCACATAGTTGAAATGTCCCTCAGACTCCCCAAGGGCAATCTTGGAGCACAGCAGGAATGTGGTTCAGCCTTGAGAGCAGCCTGAAGCCACACTCTGCACGAACCCAGTCCCGGTAGGACAGACTGTGCACAGGCTGGGTTCTTTTTGCCTCAGTCTTGCATGCAATGGTTTACAGAAGAAGTGCAATTTCAAGTAAACTTGGTTAAATCAGTGACTTTGTGCACAGGCCAACTTAATCATGATCCCAGAGCTGTCTTCTCTACAGAACTGCACCTCAGCTGTGTTGCAGGTGTACTAACATGAAGCTGCTTCATACGGAATAGCTATTCCTATGCAAGAAATGCAGTAACTATTTTGATATATAAACTATTTAATAAGTTAAGTCTGAAGTATTGCAATAAATAAGTTTAGCATGGGACAGGTCATTTTTTTGGCTTACTTTGGTCACATAAAGAGAGACACAGACTTGGCCACTGTAACTGCCTTTCATCCAGCTTCAAAACTCATAGCAGGACTGAAAGGATTTCTTAATCCTAATTTTCTTATATCTCAATAAAAGGCACGGCTGTGTAAGCAAGTTACTGTAAGCATAACTCAGCTTACTTACTTTAGCTAAAGATTTATGGCAGACCCCAACTTTCTGGTCCATGGGGTTGTTTGGGGTTTTTCTTTAACTGTGCTCTGTGAACAAATTAAACCAATACTGTAGACAAGCCCATATTACAGGTTTCCAGACAGCTCATCTTGCCTTCAGAGCTGACTCACACTGAGAACATAAATGCAAGAGAAATCTCATTTTGCCCCCTAGAAAAATCTCTTTGAAAGAGATGAGAGTCCTTCTGTTCAGCTGCGCACAATGGGCAGCAATGCAGTTAAGTGTCATTTATCTGCCCCTTGTGCTTGTTTAACAGCAGGAGATCCAGACTGTCAAGGCTTGGGTGAATGTGTGGATTTTTTTCTAAAGTATAGCAGAGTTCATATTCTGGAGTCAATTCTTAGTTCAGCAAAAAGTTCCTTAAAGATACAGGTTCTGGCACCTGCTGGTATTTTGTGTTCAGTTTTTTTAAGGGACTTACAAAAGCCTGACACAAGGGTTGGAAAGAAGTATTTTAAAAGCATCAATGGAAAAGTATTTGAAGAATTAAGCATTCTTCTGAGATGTGACATTTCAGACTTCTTTGAAACTCAAAATATAAAAATGACAGGCTACCTATGTTATTTAATCTAAGAAAAAAATCCTTCCAGATCTTTAAAAGTTTTTTAGTTGAAAGATCTTTACTGTGGCAGGCAGTGCAAGTAAGGACAGTTGGTTTGCTTCTTTAATAAGGAGATCTATTGCATTGATACTATCATAAAAACAATCCCAGCTTCTCTTAAAAGGAAAGCAGGTAAAGCTTCTGGTGCACTCACTGCGACCACCTAGGAAAGTGTTAAAAAATCCAGTATTTTTCTCATTATCCTTCTGTGCTCTCCTATTGCCCTTCCCTGCCCTAGCTCCCCCATGGGAGATGAAGCTGTGTCCTATGGGATTTGCAGCCTCCCCTCAACAACTATGTGGAGAACAGTAAATAAGCTTGGGCCACAGGTCCCCGAGGAGCTGTGATGGGCAGCAGGACAAGCTTCTTTAGCCTTTGCAACATATGGCTGCAACACAGCAGGGATCCCAAGGGCTTTGCTGCCTTGGTTGGGAGGTGCATTAAACCTCATGGCCGCAGGAAGAGGAGAGGATGTGGAGGAACAGGGATCCAGGCAGTTCCCAGTACAATTGGTTTTGCTGCTGAAAAACTCAGTTTTCTCCAGGCCTGCCAGACAGCCACTGAGCCCTAACAAAAGCACCTGTAATGCTGCTGGGCTGGAGCAAAGCAAGCGCATAACAAGGCAGTGAGAGTATCATTAGGGGAAGTGCCCCGCAGAGGCATCTTGAGGCCTGTGTTTGAAATTTGACCTGTCAGTCTGTAATTAAAGGCTTCTTCTCCAAGAGGTGTTTGTTCACCTCTGCAAACTGCAGTGCAATTGGTTGCTGCTGGAAAGCTCTGTTAGCAAAAGCCAGCATAGGAACAAAGAGATGGATGGAGGAAGCCAGCTTCCTCCTCTGGAAGGACAAGGTTCAAGCATAGATCACAAGCAGAGATGTGTCAGATACACAACCAGCAAAGTGCCGGGTCAGCACTTGGGAACAGCAGCGTCTCTGGAGCAGGATATAAGGGCATACATTTCCCCCACACTGCAGAAAAATATGCTCTGTAAAAGTTTTAGGTTATTGTATAGGTTGTACTGGAACTGGTGACCACTAGTACCTGCTGTGCCTTGATAATCTCTTCAAGCAGACATGCCCCTGCCTCTGCCAGGGCCAGGCAGGTGCTGCAGCAGCAGGGCTGGCTGCCAGCATCCACATGGCCATGCCCAGGAAGGTGGCTGCACCAGGCAGGTGTTGGCTAGAGCAGGGCAGGGTGGCTTGCTGGGCTGAGGCTGGCCCAGGGCAGCCTGGGCACAAGGCAGGATGTGGCAGCCCCCCTATTTTCCCACATGGTTTGCTACTCCTGGTAAACCAGGCTCGTGGCTTTCTTGAGCCTCACCCAGGGTGCTCATTAGGAATTAACTCTAATCATGTTCCCTTCCCCTCCCTCCTCACAGGCTACAAGGAACAGGGGATCCCACAGCAGCTGTAGTGGCTGGCACAAGTATGGTCAGAGAAACACGGCGAGAGATTTCCTTTGGCAGCTGTGGGCCATGGACCTTTTTATTACCCTTTGTCTCTCTTCTTCTTCCTTTTGTTTTGTTTCCTTCTGTTTGAACCTGGTTCATCTGCCTGTCCAGCGGAGCGGAGATGCAGAGCAGCCGGTGGAGACTTGCACTGATCCCACTGAGCAGCGGAGATGAGGCAAGCACAGCATGGGTTGGGACTGGTCCTGGCCAGCACGTGGTGGGTGGCTGACGAGGAGGAGGAGGATGGTGCCAGGAAGAGGAAACACCCTTGGCAAAGGATGCACCTGGGCAAGCAGCTGAACCGAGGGAGCAGGAGATGCTGCTTCCCCTCTCTTCCCAGTGGGAGGCCACTGAAGACCTTTTGCCTCCTTTCTATGCTCACTGTTAAAGGAAACTGGCTGTGAACATCAACTGCCAAGGAGCTGTTCATAGATATATGTACAGTGTGTAAAAGCCAACCAGTGGTATTTTTTTCCCATCCCAAGATTCCATCCTTGACTGCTTTGCAGTAGTGGAGGGTTCAGCACAGCCTCCTCTGCTGTCTGTATATACGATACTCAATGAAGTTCTGTCCTCACAGATGTCTTGAGAAACGTGCTTGCTGTAAATCGTATTGTACTGCTGAAGTGATCTGGGGGCATCCCCTGCTTCCGTCCGCTGCCACCATGCAAAGACCAGACCTCCTGCCAGCCCTTGGGAGACTTTATCCAGCAAGGCACCGGTGTCCCCGCAGCTCCTCTAGGGAGGAGCTTCTAGTGTAAAACAATATTGGGGGAGCCAAAACCCAAGACTTTTCCTCCCTCTGAAAGAGACTTGCTGGCAGTGTCTCCATGATTTGGAAATGGATCCCCTTACAGTGTGACTGACGTGTGCTCCTGGCTCAAGCAGTGTCCCAGCTCTGCTTCTCCGGGGTAAGTGCCCAACACTCGAGTATCATGACCTGCTAACCAGGTGCTCAGCAGCTGTCATGGTTGGAAGGCCCATGGCCAAATGGGGTAGGGCTGTGTTTTCCTGGTTTGAACACACAGTGTGCAGAGTTGCACTGGTCATGCAGGTGGAGTGACCTCTCTGATCCTGGCTGGTATTTAAGTAGGGTGAGAGGAGCTCAGCTTGGTGGGAGCACCTGGCTGCTTTTTCACTTTTTCAGGAGGAACTCTGCTGAAACAGGGCAAAACCAGGCTTCTGCTTGCACCTAGGAAGGGTTCTTCCATCCAGAGGAGTTTCACACAAACCCCCTGCCAAAACTGGGAGCCACCTGAGCCTGGCACAACTGGGACCTGCTTCCAGCCCATCGCTCCTGCCAAGAGACAGTGA